CCGGAGAACAATGTCTGGCTGCACGGGAGAAAACAGGGAGCAAAGGAGAAGGACTTTCAGCCGGGTTCGTTTTTTTTCCCCTCACTCCCCACCCCAGACACTTGTGCCAAGAAACCAGACTTTCTTACAAGCTCTGCCAAAGAGTAACTCGGAAAAGCAAGCTTTGTGAAGAGCAGGAGTAAATGTTTGTGCACTAGGATATCCTCCTTTCTACCTTTTTCATATGTATTAAGTGCAATCATTTGAGTCTTCTTTATATTATTTAGAGGGAAGTTTGTTGGTTTTTTTTTTCTACTAGAAACGACAATATTTATACCTGCCTGAGAAATGAGAATGTGCGTTTGTAACAAACAAACCCACCCACCCAGCCAAAGCAAAGCCAGCCCTGGGCTGCCGCCGACCGGCGGGATGCCGTCTTCAGGCCTCGCAACCTTTTCTGCCGCGTTTGTCCCCGATAAAACCCCCTGTTCGGCGGGGAGATGGTGCCTCTCCTGCTCGGCGAGCGATGGGGTGAGTTTTTGCAGGGGGGCTGAGGCCTCCCGGTCCGGCCACGGAGGAGATGGGGCGGCCGCGGTGGCCGCGTGCTTTCGAGCCGATCCTGCGCGGTTTGGGCTGTTCAAGCCCCGTTGCGGGGAGGATGCAAAAGCCCCGTCACCTGCTTGTCGCAAACCGTTTTGCTTCCCTGCAGGGGCTCAGGGACGAGCTGAGACCCCGGGGAGACCGGGGGCAGGTCCCGAGGCAGGGTCTGGGGGCCACGCTGGGAAGGTGTGGAGGTCTCTGGAGGGAGAGTCTTCCCTCCCCGGCTCTGGGGAAGCTTTGTGCTTCCAAGTCTCTTCAGATGCTTTTGGCTCCGTCCCTCTCCACGTGCTCGTCCTGCTGGGATGCTGCGGGACCCCTCCCCAGGGAGGGGGGAGAGGATCCCGGGGGACCCTGTTCTGCCACCCCAGCTTCACAGACAGGCACAGCTGGGGACGGTGATGAGTGGATGTCACCGTTGGGTTTGTCCCCCAGCATCTTCACGCAGCCAGACAGGACCCCTGGGGACAGGAGACCGCTGCCACCCGTCACCCCTCTTCCTCCTCCCCAAGCCTCGCTCCCTTTCCAGCCCTGCCACCGGCTCTCGGCTGTCACCTCCCTGCGCCTTCATCCCCATCCTCATCCTCTTGAAGACCTGAAGCTGCCAGGACTTGGCACTTGTGGGTGACTTGCCTGCAGCTTTCCTGTTGGCAGGTCCCCTCCCGTCCCCGTCCCTGCTTGTCTCTCCCTGTCCCTTTGACCACATCTGGGGTGAGCCCTGCTCTTAATGAACCAATTATTTATTGCTCTGCACCTCCGCCCGGGTCAGTCCTCGCCGAAACCAGGAGGCAGCTGCTCGCCCATGTTTTCCCTCCTCAACCCGTGCTGCTCCAGCACCCCGAGAGCTTCTCCTGGGCTCTGTTAGGGGCTGCAGGCGGGTGAGCGCTGGCAAAGGGGGCTGAGGTTTGTCCCTGACATGCGTCGGTTGGAAAAGTCTGTCCTGATTCATCCCAGCTGTGGGTTTACCCCTCCTGCCGCCCGGCTCCCAGCCTGTTTGGAAGCTCGACATCTGTGGGCTGAGCTGTTTGTCACTTGGTTGGTGTCTGAAAGCAGCTGCTTTGATGCACAAAAGCTGTTGTAGGGACTGGGGGGGGGCGGTTATTGCTCCGGGGCAGTCGCAGCAGAGCAGTGACCGTTGAAAGGGTCTTTCATATTTAGAAATTAAAAAAAAAAAAAAAAAAAACAACACACCAGCAGAAAAATGAAAACAACCCGGGAACGACTAACCCCGCTGCGGTGGCCCCGGTGGATGCAGCCACTCGTGCTCACGGAGGAGTTTATTAGTTCTTCGTGATTTAACGGCGGGGGTG